TTCCCCTCCCACCCATTGTCTGTTTATATTGTAAGGTTTTGGGAGCAGCGACTGTGTCTCATTGTAGTGTGCTTTAGACACTAGAGCCCCTATTTCAGTTGGGGCTACCATAATACAAATAATAGTCAGCATTTTCTTTTTAATATATGATGTCCATTAGGATGATACTGAGATCTCCAAGCTCTTCCATTTGTGATCTGAGCCATATTTGAACCTATGGTATGTCTTCCGGGATGGGCAGCCAGTTTGCTTTGCCACACTGGTGCTTTTTATTTCCTTACTGCTTAGATTTTCTGTCTCCTTCTTCACTCCGATGGATGCCAGCACAATGCTTGAGGAAAAGATAGGCGTAACATCTGATCCCAACACCTCAGAACTTCAGGGGAGGTTTGAGTTTGGCTCAAGGCCTGCCTCTGACTGTATGTGGTTTAATTTGATAGACTCCCCACTGCAGACAGCCAGTGTCTCTCGTGCCCCTATGGAAGTGCTGTGTTCACCAACGTCCTAAACAAATACTGCATCTTTGCAGGACCCAATGTCAAGGAGAGTTTTCTCAAATCGTGTACTCCTCTCCACACACATGAATCTATCTCTATGTTACCTGTACAGTAGCTATATTCAGTTGGGATGTTTATCCTTAGTTTTATCTAATACTCTTTGGTCATGAAATCAGACTGGGGATCTAACAAGAACAGGATTTGTCACACCATTTCTGGTACTTCCTGGTTTCTGGCTGGGGTAGAAGTATTACAGTTTGTGTAGTATTTCTGCAACTGGATGGAATCAGGGAGCGGGGAGCTGAGTGAAAATGAAACGTACAAGAAACTATGCACACATTTTCTGGGCTTCATAAAAGTTTCGGGTCAAAGGTTCAGGTCTCGGTTTCTATTTTCATAGAAAGAACACCCAATTTTCAATGAATTGGTTTGCTCATCTCTAACTATAGCACCCATGTTCCACCTAACTAGCAAAGTGACCTGCTGCTGTGCCTAAATTGTCTGAAAGCTTTTGACCCATGAATAGAACTTCCACCGTGCTCACCCCGTTAACAGATGTCTAACAATAACATCTTGCATTCCCATAGCACTTTACATCCCAAAGGATCCCAGTGTTGTTTGTGTATAGGAATGGCAGCTCCCCCCCTGGAAATGGCGTTATCGGCACCTCTCAAGTGGAAGGTGGGAGTACACAGTCACAACACTGCATGACAATCTGGGACAGGAATTAGAACTAAGTAGAATGGAAGGCTTTTCATTCATCCCCCAAGTTACCCTTCGAATCTGAGGTTTAAATAAACCCCAAATTCAGAGAACACCGTCAGCTGCCAAGCTTCACCTAGGTTAATGCTGAAACCATGCAAAGCTGCTAGTTTCTATCATTTTGAACCATAAGTTGCCCCGTTTGCTCAACACTGGTTCCAGATTTGTGCAAACCTCTCAACACGCTTATTGTTGTGTGTATTGCAGTAACACCTAGAGGCCCACCAGGGCCTGTTGTGATAAGTGGGCCTAAAAGTTTGCCCTAATTGTGAGTTCAACTGTAATAAACAAGTGTAAGTTCATAAGTTGTCACAATAACCTATAAGAACAAATGTTGGTGGGAAAAGGTACGAAAGGAAGACTGAATTAGTCCAAACAAAAAGGCCTCCTGATATAACTCAAGGACTGTGTTAAGTTCATGCTTAGTAAACAAGAGAAGTGTTGAACCAGATCAGTGAACCAAAATTGGGGTGTTGGAAACTAGGCCTAGTTGGCGGACAAAATAATGAGCGGCTGGGCTATTCCATCACCACTCCCTTTGTGGGTCCTTAAAGAAAGGGACTTCGGGGGGAAAATTGGCTACCGGAGCAAGCTTCACCATCATGGCTGCCATCCCCACAATCTCCTGATCCTGAAAGAAGTCTTGACCTGACCAGGCCAAAGAGAGGGACCCAGATAACATCACCACCTCTACTGGCTTCAGCTGAATCCCACACACCGCCTGGGATGAAATGGGATCAGACTTTAACAACAACAGCTGCAGCCCGTCTGAACTAACTTTGTCTCTTTTCCCCAAAGGACAGTCATTACCATCTTTGATACCACCCAAGAGACCTTCAGTTGAGGGTTTTTTTCCTCTAAAGATTCTCTCCAGCTAAAGGGAAAGGGAACAAAGGGTCCTGTTAAAATGAAAGCCTCACATAATCCTTTGTATTTCAAGTGCTTTGACTGTTTTTTCCTTCTTTTCTGTATCTTTAATAAAAGGTTAAAAGGATTTTTAACGGTGTGTTTGCCATGGCACTAAGCAGGCTGAGGTCTCTGTAGACCAAACCCTGAACCTTGTTAGCAATGTTTACTGTTGGACAGCGACTATCTAATGTTAACATCTTTAGCCCATATATTCCACTAACCCATCATTCCAGGCAGTGTGGAGACCAAGTGACTTGTCCATGGTCCCACAGCAGGGCAGTGGCAGAGCCAGGAATGAAACCCAGATCTCCAGAGTACTCTCATGCCAATGACCCTATCCACTAGACCACACTGTCTCCTTGGGCTCAGGGTCAGGTTTTTGATGGCACATGAAACCAGGTGAGTTTCGCGTGGTTCAGGGGTTACTCCAGGAAAGGTTCACGCAGCTCTCTGTGACGAATCCTGTTTCCATGCTGGGGTGCTGGTTCAGTACTGAAGAGTGCCACCTATTGGCAAGAGCCCTTTGCTATTTGTAGCACATGTGCAGTACTTGGTATGTAGATGTTCATCATCACCATTGGCAAACAAGCCCTGACTACAGACCAGATGGAGCAGTGCACCTTGAGAAGAGGGTGAGACGATAGTAAAACCGTCACTGCAGAGAGAGAGGAGTTATCTAATAGACTGAGCAGGTGGCTGAGCGCCAGGTACTCACGAATGCTAGTCCTGGCTCTAACACCGGTTCCCTCTGTGACCTTGTGCAAATCACGTAACCTCCTCTCTGCTTCAGTTTCGCTTCATATGCAGAGGAGATTATAACCCTTAGCCACTCACAGGGTTGTCGGGAGGGTTACTCAGTTAATGTGCGGATAGTACTTTGAAGAGGGAAAGAGACACATTAGCGCTGATTATTATTTTATTATATCCTCCCTCCCAAACATACTGTCACCCGCTCACGAACGTACCTTGCTCCCAGAGGCCTCCTGTCACTGTAGTTAGATGTTGCCCTTTCAGTCCAGGTCTAGAAGTGCCTCACAGAAGTGGGTGAGTCTCATTACCCCAAGTTTGCACCAAGGCACAGCAGTGATATGTTTTACCTAAGGTGAAAGAGCAACTGGTAATCCCCAGAGATAGGATCAGAACCAGGTCTTCTAACTCTGCAGCTACTGCACCATGCGGTTGCCTATGGGTGCTTGGAGCACAGGAGTCACCCGGGTTCGTTTCTACTATGTAAATGTACTTTCCAATGGGAGCTTCCCCCCCACTGCCCTTCCTTCTGATACTTCATTTAAATACACGCTAGAAACACTGAAGATGGAAACAGCCTCCTGATATCGGATCATCTTGTCCGTTCCCTTCAAGACTATTCCCTACCGTAACCTGTCAAACTTTGTCCAATGGAGTTATAAAAGATGCAAGCAGTGGGGCTTCCGCTTCTTCCCATGAGAGGCTCTTCCCCAGCCTAATAGATCACTCTGATCACATCTTTGACATGTAGGAAGCCTATTCTACTTGTGCTGCATATAAACATGTGCTTAAATATCCTCTAAGCAGGGGAGGGCAATAGCCGGGGAGCCTTTTGTTGGGAAAGTAAAGAAGAACTTGTAAAGACCTTGACCCTGTCTGCATGTCTGCTTTGGCTTGCAGCCATTGGACCCATATTTCCAACCACTACAGCCATCCAGGGAAACCCTCCCATGGTCCTTGGATGCAGGGCTTTCACAGAGGATGGCACAGTCCAGTCATGATTGCTTATTCAGCTAGATGTCTCAGTGGTCTTTGGTACCACGGCCCATGGGATTCTGTTCACCCTGTTGTCAACCCTGGGCTTGACTGTACCATTAAGATGCAGTTCTGGGTGGTGGTGATGTGGAGTAGAGCTGCCTCGCCCCACTTGGAACTCTAAGAGGGATCGGACCAATTCCAACCACGGAGCCTAGGGTGGATGTGCAAGCTGCATGATCCCTCTGTGTGGTGCTGTGCACTCCCCTCTCTGCACAGAGATGAGTCATGTCCTCATCCCCTTTGGGGTCATCTGCTTGGGATGCTAGGAGAGAGCATTCCCCTGCATGCAGGGGTTGGGGCTGGTCACTGGGTGAGACACAAACAGGGCTAGGCTCCATGCTTCCCACCATAAAAAGATCAGTCGCAGACTGGACCAGGCTAGATTTGAAACAGCCAGTGGCAATGGTTCCCCATGGGCACAGGGCATGTATTTAAGGTGAACACTTGGATGGCAAGAGTCAATGAAGCAGCACACAATTGTTTTTAATTATTGAAATGAAGGTGTTCCCGGCAGGAGCTGCAGGGCCCCACGCGACCCCAGATGCCACAGCTCCTGTTTTAGCACCCTGCTGAGTGTGATGTTGCAAGCACAGCCAAGAGAGAGGTGTTTATTAAGTCCTGCCTTTTAGACTTGCTCCTGCAACTCCAGAGGTGTGGATTTCATACCAGAGCCAAGACATTAGGGGACTCCCAGGTTTATCCCAATGTCAGTGGGGAACTGCTAGAGGTCAAGCAGATTAGCTGAAATGCACTGGAAAAACAAGCTCTCTACAGCTCCACAAGGGAAATGGATTGCAGGTGGACTTTAGGGCCCATTTCTGCATCATTTTCTAACTAATGTTTTCCCCCATGTGTTTGAATAGATTTAAACCCCAGATTTCTCTAATTCTGGTCAGTATCTGGGCCTTTGAACCAAGGAGTATAACTGGATTGACTTTCCAGCGAAACCACCATCTTCCTCTTTTTAATTCTCTTCCTCTTCTTTTGCGTGACTTTAGTTCTCCCTTGAGCTCCTGTTCACTCTTTTGGCATTGTCCTGTTTTGCAGGAGAGCATGTCCAGAACTGGATGAGTCACCCCAGATGCTGCAGCACTGTGAATAGGATTTCATGACACCCTAGGTTGGCCAGGCCAGTCCCATCATTCCAGCGTGAAACTTCTGGGCCAGAGCCATCATCTTCTTCCTCCACCTGGGAGATTGCCTGAGGTTGCATGGCAAGGCCGTGAAGGTCAGTCAACACGGTAGGTACCCAGTTTTTCTCATTTTCGCCTCCTTTCCATGTAGAGTTTCATGTGCGGCAGTGGGAAGAAATAGCCAGACCTTTGAGCAGCCCTGTACTTTCCTCACTAGAAATGAAAGCTCTTCTGAGAGCCAAACCCCATAATGCCTCTCACAGGCAGGATTGCCAAGTCCAGGCCTGATCACAGGAGTCCAGTTCTACCCCCTGAGATTGAGACAGAGGCTGTGGTGTCCCGAGTACCTCAGGGATAAGTCCAGGAATGGGTTGGGGAGAGGAAGATGGACTGGGGAGGATTAAGGCAGAATCCTTGAGGTCCCAGCTCAGTGGACAAAGGGAACCCCAAGGCAGCTGTGAGTGAAGGAGGTGACCTGGGTGAGGCTCAGCTGAATCCATGGTGAGTGCCTCAGGCTGTGTCACAATGTGACTGGTGAATGGGAGCTTCTGGAGAGAGAGGCCAGGTGTCATGTGGCTCTGAGTTAGGCAGCTTGCCCAGCACACCAGCCAGCTACTGAAGAGAGGGCTGGCAGCTGGTGGGGAGAGTAGGAGGGCAAGTTTATCTGGGCCCAATAGAGTCAAATATTCGGAGCAGGGACATGAAACCAGGGTCTCCCACATCCCAGGCCAGTGCTCTTGGGGGAGAGGCTGTCCTTCAGAGGGACAGAGGTGCTGTTGTGCAACGCTGGTCTGTCAATGAACTGGAACTATCTGGACCAGCCGAAATGAGGGCCAGATTGTGATACCCTGACTCACTCTTGGCCGGATCCCCACCTGGTGTAAATTGGTGTAGCTCCATTGATTTCACTGGAGTGACAGTGATCTACACCAGCTGAGGAGTTGACCCCTGAGTAGCATCTTAACTCCAGGAGTGTCAAGGTTCCTCCCCCACTCTGAACTCTAGGGTACAGATGTGGGGACCTGCATGAAAAACCTCCTAAGCTTATCTTTACCAGCTTAGGTCAAAACTTCCCCAAGGTACAAAATATTCCACCCTTTGTCCTTGGATTGGCCGCTACCACCACCAAACTAATACTGGTTACTGGGGAAGAGCTGTTTGGAAACGTCTTTCCCCCCAAAATACTTCCCAAAACCTTGCACCCCACTTCCTGGACAAGGTTTGATAAAAAGCCTCACCAATTTGCCTAGGTGACTACAGACCCAGACCCTTGGATCTTAAGAACAATGAACAATCCTCCCAACACTTGCACCCCCCCCTTTCCTGGGAAATGTTGGATAAAAAGCCTCACCAATTTGCATAGGTGACCACAGACCCAAACCCTTGGATCTGAGAACAATGAAAAAGCATTCAGTTTTCTTACAAGAAGACTTTTAATAAAAATAGAAGTAAATAGAAATAAAGAAATCCCCCCTGTAAAATCAGGATGGTAGATACTTTACAGGGTAATTAGATTCAAAACATAGAGAACCCCTCTAGGCAAAACCTTAAGTTACAAAAAAGATAGACAGAAATAGTTATTCTATTCAGCACAGTTCTTTTCTCAGCCATTTAAAGAAATCATAATCTAACACGTACCTAGCTAGATTACTTACTAAAAGTTCTAAGACTCCATTCCTGGTCTATCCCCGGCAAAGACAGAATATAGACAGACACACAGACCCTTTGTTTCTCTCCCTCCTCCCAGCTTTTGAAAGTATCTTGTCTCCTCATTGGTCATTTTGGTCAGGTGCCAGCGAGGTTACCTTTAGCTTCTTAACCCTTTACAGGTGAGAGGAGCTTTCCCCTGGCCAGGAGGGATTTCAAAGGGGTTTACCCTTCCCTTTATATTTATGACAAGGAGTAATCCCATTGAAATTGATGGGACTGCTCTTGCTAAGCAAGGGGATTCAGACATGGCCCTGGGGGAACCGGAGAAGCTGCTGGTGCCAGCTTCAGGGAGTTTCCCATCCTTGAGCAGAGGGGAGCTGGAATTTCCCCAACCGTGGGCAGGGTTCAAAAGTCTGGGGGCCTTGTTTAAAATGAGGAAGCTAGGAGTGGGCAGAGCTGTTTGGCACCTGGGGTACTAAAGGAGGGATGGGAGTGGCCATGGAAGGAGGCAGCACAAAGAGCATGGATGAGGTCCAAAAGCACCTAGATTTGTTCCTACTGCCATAGAGGCTTGAAGACGGTCACTCCCCAAGGCACAGACACGCTGGGCTCTCAGCCCCACATTTTGTCGTTCTTCTGTCTGGCACAAACTCCAGCCAGCAGGCAGGGTATGTCAGGGCCACCTCCTTCTTGGTGGGACAGGAGCAGAGGGCCAGATCCTCACAGTAACTAGCTGTTGTTCCATTGACTTCAATGAGGTGAGGCCAGTTACATCAGCTGAGGGTCCTAGCCAATTATGTGAGTCTATATCAAAATGGAGATGGGGCCAGAGGGTGCTAGGGATCTGAGCAAGCGTGGCGGGGACAAACAGAGGGAAGTGGCTAGCACAGCTGGGGGTTAGAACAGGCAGGGACACACATTAAATGGTGTCACTATGGGGAGGTGCAGGGGACCTAAGCGAATACAGACTTAGGGGCCAGTGGAGGTAGCTGGCTAGCAAGCAATTTAGTCAGGATGGCAGTGGGGTTACCCAGTTTTATTTCTCAGCACGCTCCCTGCCAAGTGAGACATGCATTGTGTCTGCAGTACAAGCAGGTCTAGCTAGCTAGATGCCTTGAGAGCCTAAGGAATGGTTACGGAACGGGTGGATCAAGGACAGAGAGAGATTGAATAACTACAGCATACAGGGATGTAGCAGAGGTGGGACCCACCTCTCAGCTCATTTCCTCAATCCTTTATTCACAATGGAAAAAGGTAAATAGCAGGGTCCTCCAAGGATCTGTATGGGGCCTGTGCTGTTCAATATATTCATAAATAATCTGGAAAAGGAGGTGAACATGAACAGTGAGGTGACAAAATTTGCAGATGATACAAAATTACTCAAGATAATTAATTCCACAGCTGATGGTGAAGCGTGGCAAAGGGATCTCCCTAAACAGAGTGACTGTGTGACAAAATGGCAGATGAAATTCAATGTGAATAAGTCCAAAGTAATGCCCATTGGAAAATATAATCCCAACTATACATACAAAATGATGGCGTCTAAATCAGCTGTTACCACTCAAGAAAGATCTCAGAGTCATTGTGAATAGTTCTCTGAAAACATCCATTCAATGTGTGCAGTGGCAGTCAAAAAACCTAACAATGTTAGGGACCGTCAGGGAAGGGATAGATAATAAAACAGAAAATATCATAATGCCACTATATAAATCCAGGATCTTCCCATACCTTGAATACTGCGTGTAGTTCTGGTTATCCCATCTCAAAAAAGATGTAGTAGAATTGGAAAAGATACAGAGAAGGGCAACAAAAAGGATGAGGGGTATGGAACAGTTTCCGTATGAGGAGAGATTAAAAAGACTGGGACTATTCATTTTAGAAAAGAGAGAACTTGGGGGTTGGGGAGAGTAGATAGAGATCTATAAAATTATGAATGGTGTGGAGAAAGTAAATAAGGAAGTGTTATTTACCCCTTCACGTAACACAAGAACCAGAGGTCACCCAATGAAATTAAAAGGCAGCAGGTATAAAACAAACTTAAGGACTTACTTCTTTGCACAATGCACAGTCAACCTGTGGAACTCATTGCCAGGGGATGTTGTGAAGACCAAAAATATAAATGGGTTCACAAAAGAATTAGATAAATTCATGGAGGATAGGTCCATCAATGGCTATTAGCCAAGATGTTGAGGGACGCAATCTCATGCACTGGGTGTCCCTAAACCACTGATTGCCAGAAGCTGGGACTGGACGACAAGGAATAGATCTCTCGATATTTGCCCTGTTCTGTTCTTTCCCTCTGAAGTATGTGGCACAGGCCACTATCAGAAGACAGGATATTGACTAGATGGACCATTGGTCTCACCCAGTATGGCCATTCTCATGTTCTTATGTTAGGAGACCAAGCAGGAATGGAAAGAAGGACAGATTCCTTAAAAGGCTTCCCTTCTAGGAGCAGGAGAGCCAGGCATGCTCAGTGAACAGGTTGTAGTGGTAGGAGGGAGTTTTGTCATTAGAAATACTGTGTAGATGGCTGGGAATGTGATGACAGTGAAAACTGTGAGGGTATTTGCCTAGTGGGTGTGAAGGTGTCAGATCTTATGAGCCATATACTATGGATTGTTTTTTAGAGAGATCTCAGAAAGAGCCTGTGGTCGCAGTACGTGCTGTACCAATGACATAGGGGATTGCAGACGAGAGCTCCTGGAAGCTAAATTTAGACAAGGCAAAAAGCTTAAGTCTAGGTCTTTGATGGTAGTTTTCTGTGATGGGGAGGAGCTCCAGGGACTGGAGATAGCAAAGGTACTGACAGGGTGTTACCACGTGCCTGTGTGTGGCAGGGCAGAGTTCCCAGAGACTGGGGAGATTGGGGTGAGAGGTGGGGGTCTGGCAGCACCCTGTGGGGGTATGCTGTAAGGAGCAGATGTAGCCATGTATCAGGTGGTCTGACCACACCTGACGGTTGGTTATACCAGGTGATGCGTACAAATCAAGCGGTATTTAATCTGGCCTTTGCCTTGGGCATGTCAAGAGGGATGCCTTCAGCTATAGAGAAGACTTTCCCCCAGCCCAGAGGATACATTTGTGCTGCGGGAAGGAAAAAACAAAACACTCCATGAACGTGAGTCTGTTCCCCAGCACTCTCTCAGGACAATGCAGTGATGCTGGGCTCGCCAGGCCACGGCCTCTGAATGCACTGCCAGATGCAGCCACCTCTTCCCCAATGCACCCTGCCCCCGCCTAGACTCTAGCTCTTGAGGCTTCCCACAAGCACTTGCTACTGGAAGTTTTCTGTTTCCAGGGCTCACATTCAGATCTGACTTAAGTGGCTGCCAGTCCTGTCCCAGTCAAAATTACACCCGCTTATGCTGGGGCTTCAGACTTGGAGGGAATTGGCTAGCCTTGTTCACTCCCTGAGGAGTGCAGATAACAGGGCACCCACGTGCCTATTTAACTCT